CTACACATCATGAGAGATGGTTGAGATTAATTGTAGTTCCAATGACACTGCTAGAGTTCGTATGCCATTACTTGCCTTTATAAGAGCAAGCGTATTATGCTCCCATGGGAGCATGTTATGCATGTCCTCCCTCTACTTGGGTTTTTTTTTTTTCAATTCAAAAATTTTGAGAACTACCTAATAATTGTTAGATGATAATTTTTAAAAGAAAAAATGTGAATTTTGAGTTTTCGAATGCTTAGATCGCACCTTTTAAAAAATTGAATGGTCTTTGTTCAATCTTGAGACATAATTTTTTTTCAAGTCTATAGAGTGCAATTTGGAATTTTTCTTTATTGAAGTTAGTTTATGGGTGAGGAGATTAAATCCCCAATTTTTAGGATTTTAAATTACTCCTAGGTTGAATTTTGCCTGAGGGAATAAATGGAATGTATACTCCCACATGAGACTACCTCAAAAAAAATTGAAAGAAAAAGATGTGTTTCCATTCCAAAAAGATTGAGCAAATATGATGATATGAAAATAAAATAAAATAAAATAAATAGCATAAAATAAAATCCAAACCATCCAAATTTTATTTTAAAGAACCATTTAGCATGAAGGACATCCAAATTCACTTTAAACAAAATTTTTATTTGCATCTTAAAATATGAGCAAATATGATGACATGCAAATGAAATACAATGAATGTGTTCAAAATCGTGGACTTTTTCTAGGTCTAAAAAATTTTTCTTTTCGTGTTTATGATTGTGGGAGTTAAGATTTTCGACATGTTATTTTAAAAATAAAATCCATCTCTAAATGGACTTTTTGAAAAGAGATTAGATTTGGATACGGATGAACAAACACCTTGTCTATGGGTTTGGTGTGAATTGGTGCAAGTGGATCTATGGTTGTCTTTCCTCCGTACATTTCTCGGTTATTATTGATGGTTGCCCCAGAGGTTTTTTCAAGTCGTCAAGAGGTCTCCATCAAGGAGATCCGTTGTCCCCTTTTTTATTTACCATTTATGCGAAATGCTTCAGCTTAATGGTATCTAATGTGGTTAACCGGGACACTTTGTTGGATTTCAGGTTGGTCGTGATGGTCCCTCTATTTCCCATCTTTAGTATGCGAATGATACTCTGATCTTCTCAGAGGTGAAAAATGACTATAACGAATTCCTTGGGAGATTTCGTAAGTGTTGTGAGGTAGGTATAGGCTTAACGGTGAATGTGACCAAAACTTCTATGGTGGATGTGAACTGTAACAGTGAGATGGTGGTGGAGCTAGCGAGGGTACTTGGGTGCAAAGTAGAAAAGTTCTCAATATGTTACTTGGGATTACTCATCTCGGATTCTAGGTTGCCTATATCGGTGTGGGATAAGGTTGTCCAAAGAGCTCAGTTTAAATTAGAGTTGTGGAAGTCGAAATATTTGTCTATAGGGGGAAGAGTTACCTTAGTTAAATCTTGTTTGTCCAATTTGCCCATCTACCAAATGTCCTTGTTGAAAATGCCCACAACAGTTTGCAAGAAGGTTGAGAAGATGATGAGAAGTTTTGGGGTTCTTTTGAAGAAAATAGGAAATATCACTTATTGAGATGGGATAGAGTGTGTACCCCAAAAAATGAGGGAGGATTGGGGATACGCAGGGTTGGGCTTATGAATGAGGCTTTAATTACAAAATGGTGGTGACAGAGCTTATTTTGCAAGGATCAATTGTGGTGTAATATTTTGATTGCTAAATATGGTTGTGATAGATTTGGGGTATGGATTGGAGGTAGTCGAGGAAGCGCTTTGAGATCGAGTTTTTGGAAGGATATCTTCTTGTGCAAGTCCTATAGTTTGAGAGATATTAGATGGTGTGTAGGGAATGGTTCCAAGGTTTCTTTTTGGCACCGTAAGTGATTGGGGGTTACCCTTTGAAGGTGTCTTTCCCTAATCTCTTTGCTAAGACTACCTCACCTAATGCTTTGCTAATGGAGTTGTATTAGAGTTTGGGGGAGTAGGTGTCTTGGTGTATTCAGTTTCCCTACAATAGAGCTTCTGATAGTTTTGCTGCAGATATCGCAAGTCTATGGCAGTGGTTATAGTTGGTGGTTTTGTGTGATTCCATTGAAGATGAGGCTATTTGGGAGCACAGTAAAGATGGGATGTTTTCGGTGAAAGGCATGTATTCCCTGCTAATGCATGACCGTTTTAGGTGGTCCTTACCTCAGATAGCACAAATTTGGAAGTGGCCCATTCCTCACAAAGTACAATGCTTTATGTGGTTGGCAGGCCAAAATAAAGTCCTAATAGTGGATAACCTAATCAAGAGAGGGAAGCATTTGCCAAATGTGTGTCTTATGTGTAAGGAGGACGAAGAGTCTATCTCACATTTGCATGTTCATTGCCATTTTGCCTCTCTTATTTGGAGCTACTTTTTTGGGACGGTTGGGATGGCTATGGTAATGCCACAAAGTGTGTTGGGTGTTATTTCCCAACTTACCTCTTTGGGACTACCTAAATTGGGGATTAGATTTTGGCATATTATCAAAGGAGCAATTTGCTGGGTATTATGGAAAGAGCAAAATAGACATACTTTTGAGGGTGTAAGTCTATCTTGTGGTAGGGGTGTTACAACGCATTTTGCACACGAGCTGGTGTTGGATGTTTGTGTTAGAGGAAGGGAGAGGTATTTCTCAATATGATATGCGGAATAATCTTGCATCCTTACTGTATTTCAAGAAAATCAAGTGCAGACCAAGGGGTCGTTGGATACGTCCGAATTTGGACTGCCTTAAGCTTAATTTTGATGGAAGTTCTTTAGGGAACCCAGATCCTGCGGGGATTGGACGAGTGATCCGTGATTCGTCAGGATATATTGGATGTGCCTTTGTTGGTCCTATCGGGGTAGCTACTGCCAACTGTGTCAAGTTTAGTGTGTTACTCAGAGGTTTGATTATTTTAAAAGGTCTAAACTTGGGGCTGCCGGTCATCATGGAGGGAGATTCTTTAAATGTGATCAGTTGTTGTAATTAGGAGCAGTGTGTTCTTTGGCTGTTACATTCTGTTTGAGTACAAGTGGTGAAGTTAGAAGCAGAGTTGCACTTATCGTTTCAGCATGTTTTTAGGGAGTCGAATGTTTTGGCGGACGGGCTTGCAAAAGGGGGTGTGTCCATGGAGTCCTTTGCATTTTTAAATGATGTGATGAGCGATTGATATTGTTGCTTTGTTGATTTGCAATCATAATTAATAACATTTGTCAAAAAAACAAAAACCTTCTCCAAGAATTATCATTAAAATAGTCATACCATCTTAAATCATTAAGGTGGTTAAATTAACCAGTTTAGCATTAAATTAGTTAATTTCTAAGATTTTCCATAAGATGTATTTTTAAAAAGTCATGTTTAAATATACTAGTTGCCCTACATTCTGGATTTGGAACATCAAACAAGTATATTTGGCATTTCTGGATCCACTCAAGCGGACATAGCCAAATAATGTAAATAACCTAACTTTGTCAGGGTTAGGAACCTGAGCTGGGATTTCTTGTGAAAAATGAGCTCTAGATTCCTAAGCCAAAACAAATGGAAAAGAATTGGCATTTTGGTCAGGACACTAGATTATGGCAAAATGATGATTACTTCCCTCCATTTTTAGGGTTAGGGACATCAAACAAGAATTTTCCAAGAGAAATTATAAACCTTGAAGAGGCAGGATTGTAACTATCATTTTGCTCAATCTTACTTAACTTATGCAAAATAGTTCCAAGGTTAAGAACCCATGACAAGTATAACTAATGTTTTTTTAAAAATGCCGATTTGGATCAGATCTAGCCGATCTGAATTAGGAATTATTAGGGACGGACCCGTTCTTGTGAAATGTCAGGAACCAGCATGTTTCCCCCATGACACGCCCTATTCCCTACCCTATTTTTACTTTTTTTAACCTTTTTTTTTTTTAATGACCGGTTCAATAGACCTGATCGCCAATTTGGACTGATCCACTAAACTGAATCGAAAATCTAGATGCGCAATCTAGGTCAGCCATCTATTTTTTAAGATCTTGAGTATAACATATGGTAAAGCAATTTTCATATTACTAAGTTTGGGTATGAGAAGGTTTATTTATATTTAGCTCATGTCACATTGACTTGAGTCAAGTAACATAAATACTCATTTTATTCAAGTTTAAAATAAAATATCTTAAATGTTAATGCAAAGTATTTGCATCAATTGATTAGGTCCACCTAAGTTGGAGCCAATTTTTTTAAGGGAAAATATTTCCTTATCACCTATTTTTAACTTTCATAACTCATGAGACTCAAAAATTGAAAATGTTACTGATAAGCAAAAGGTCTCTATTTTTTCTATCTTACAATCCCCTAGACCCTTTTGACCATAAATTTTTTACCCCAAATAAACACTAAAATGATACGCTATTCAAACTTCATCTCTCTCTCTCTTTGTTTCTCGGTGAGTTTACTAGCCAAGGGGTTTAGCTTGAGCTCGAACACGAGCACACCTTGTTATGTATGTGTGAGAGAGATGGAGTTTAGTAGAGAGAGAGATGGAGTTTGGGTTTTAAAGAGAGAAGGAGTTTTAGAGAGAGAAAGAGATAAAATTTGAGTCTTAGGGAGAGAGATGGAGTTTTGACAGAGAGACGATGATGTGAGAGAGAGAGATGGAGTTTGAATTTTAGATAGAGACAATGATGTGAAAGAGAAATGAAGTTTTAGAGAAAGAAAGATAGAGTCATTTCATAAGTTATTGAAGTTAATAATACATGGTCAAAAGGGTTTAGGGGGTTGGAAGATAGAAAAGATTGAGTCTTGTTTTTTACAAATAATATTTTCAATTATTGAGTTTGATGAGATATAAAAATTAAAAATAAAAAATAAAAAATAAAAAGATATTTTTCTTTTTTTTTTAAATCAATATGAGGGAATGTGATCAATTTAAACAGCGGCCTCGAGGAGATGCCCGAGTGCCAAAGTCGTACAAAGTAACTCCTCTAATGCCTAAATTGATTGATTAGATTGTTTTAGCATATAACTGATATTTTTTTCAGAAAAGATAAATATTGGTGCATATTTGGGCCAATGATGGAAACCATTGCTTGGGACGAGTACTCAGCCCATGCCCGACCGAGTACTCGGACCGAGTCCTAGTAACTAAGTTTGATTAATGGCGAGTATTCTAGCAACAAAAAAATAAATGATTAAAAAATGATAAAAAATGTAAAAAAATTAAAATATAAAAATCTAAAAATCTAAAAATCTAAAAAAGAAAGAAATATATGTTTAAAATAAGATAAGGCAAAAAAACACATCAAAATGAGGTTAAAAAAATGATAAAAAATAGATTTTTAAAAATCAACTTATAAAGAGGGTATTTTCAAAATAAATAAAAAAAGATGGAAAAATGCAAAAATAAGTATTTATGGCTAAAACACTTTCCATTTATTTAGGGTTTTTTATGATTTATTTATTTTTATTTTTAATACCCATGAGTTGGACACCCAACTCGGGATAATTCAGGCTCGAGCCCAAAACCGAGTAGCAATGACTTTGCAAACAATGGTTTGAATAGCCAAGTTCATTTGCTCCTTTGCATGACGACAACGTACATATAAAAGGGAAAGTATAGAATGTGGCTATCTACCTTTGATACAAGGTGGTCACATTAATCTTGACTATTAGATATGAAATTGGGTGGCTGCAATTATTCTATTAGCCAAACTCAAACTTTGTGACACATCCAAGCTATCAAATTTCATATTGGATGGTTGTAAATAATTGTGACCACCTTGTATCAAAAGTAAATGATCTCATTGTATACAATACTTATATATATATATATATATATAAGACAACCAGCTCTCTCACTCTAATCATTAAGACATTCTTAAGCAACAGTTAAGAGCACTACATCTCAAATTTGATTCTTACCAACTACCGAAAATAAAAAATTTGTTGATGTGACACAAATGATTATGATTAGGAACGCTACATCTCAAATTTGATTCTTACCAAAACTACCCAAAATAAAAAATGAATTGCCAATGCGACCATTATCCGAATCGAAAATGGGAGATGGATAACTCCCAAATAGAAAATCCCCAATGTCGTCTAACTCAGTTTCTTATCATGATCTTTGTAATTGTAGCCGACTCAAAACCACCCAAGTTAGACCAAGTATATCGGAAGCGGACCGCCCAAGTTAGACAAAGAGTGTTGGATCAACTCGAGTCAGCCCAATTCCCATTTTCAAATCCTGATCTATAGGGCTGATTATTGGCCAAATCCAGATACTAGAAAAGCAAAGCCATACGTATTCAATAGATTTACACTTCCCATCATACCATGTATTGTGCCATTGGATTGAAATAAACACTCAAGAGAGTTCCAAGTTCACAAATTCACCAAAGCTTTCTTAAGAACGCTCATATTTTTCCAAAAGGGAGATTCAAACTTCTCCCAGCACCCAGAAATAAAAGATAAAAATACCCCTAGACAACTGAGACTCCAGCTGGCCGGCCATGGAGCACCTGCCTGAGCTGGTGGTACCCATCACGGAAATGGTTGAGAGAGAAACACAACTGCCGAATTGCCTCTCTCTTTTCCTCTCTGAGCTCCATCACCTTTGCCTCAAGCTCGACGATACGGGCTCCACCTGCCTGCACCACTTCCATGAGCCTCGCATGATCGAGGTGCAGCTCGTGCAAGTGTTTGTCGGCCTCTCTGACGCTCTCCCCGAGCGCCTCTCTCTCCTCTTTTGCCTTCGCCTCTAGCACTTCTCTCTCTGCCCTGGCCATTGCTTCAAACTCTTCTTTCTCTATCTGGGTTCTTGCCAACAGGGTTTCTCTCTCCTGCCTCGTCTTTGCCTCTAGTGCGTCTCTCTCTAGCCGAGCCCGAGCCTCGATCTCTTCTCTTTCTGCCTGAGCCTTTGTCTCACGCCTCGCTCTCTCCTCTTGTTCTTTTGCCACCAGGCCATCTCTCTCTTCTTGATACTTTGCCTCCACTGCATCCCTCTCCATTGAAGCCTTTGCCAGTAGATCTTGTATTTCCTTCTGGTTCTTTGCCTCCAGTGCTTCCATCCCCTTTTGAGCTTTTGCTTCTAATGCTTCTCTCTCTAACCGAGCCCTCTCCTCGACCTCCTCTCTCTCTGCTCGTGATCTTGCCTCAAGCTCCTCTCTTTCGACCCTAGCCCTCACCTCAAACTCCTCTCTCTCGAACCTAGACCTAGCCTTGAGCTCTTCCCTCTCTTCTTGAGCCTTTATCCTAATCCTTTCTCTCTCCTCATTTGCCCTCTCAATCTCTAGCCCCAACCTCTCAATCTCCTCCCTCAACTTCCCATTGCTATCCTCCAACTCCCGAGCCCTCTCAATCGCCCTCAGACTCTCCACTGAATCTCCACCACCTGCCATCGGTCCCAAAAATCTTGCCTCCTCTGCCACCCTAAGCTTCTCCCTCACCTCTCTAAGCTCCTCCTCCAGCTCCAAAATCCTCCTCCTCAACCCCCCATCTGAGCCATTCTCCGAAAACTCCTTATTATTCGAAGAGTCCGAATTTGACGACGATGAGTCAGAATCTGATGAAGAGGACCCCGAGTCACTTCCCCTTTGAGAATGGTCAGTGGTACTCTTATCAGAGCCCAGAAAAACATCAAAACCCGCAGCTCTATGCTTAGACCTCGGCCTTGAGGACTTCCGAGAATGGGTAGAGGAAGAGTCAGGGCTTGGAGAGTCTCCTGACTCTTCGAGAACTGAAGGCATGTTCTTTCTGAGCTCTACAGTCAGGTGGTCGTATCGCTCAGCCAAGGAACGGTACATGCGATAGAAATCCTCGACATGGGAGACAAGCAATGGCCGCCTCTCATAGTACATCTCAGCCTTCTTCGCAAAAGAGTCACCTTCCTCCTCAATCAGCTTCAGCATGCGCTTCACACTCTGATCCATCTCTGCAAGATTAAGATCCATCGGCACTAAAAATAGAAAACATGCTATGATTCACATGATCAACAGAGGTCATCACCGCCATATTAATAGGTTAGATGGTGATGGAGCAAGTATACTACAAAGCATATGATATGACAATAGTATCAAGGTCTTGAAAAGTGTAAGGCACTGACAGCAAATAAAACCTAATTGAGAGAGATTGACTATTTATAAAAAGAGACTGGTTAAATAGAGAGAGAATTGCTTCAAGAGGAGAGAGAATATAACACAACCAGAAATCCCTGTTTTTAAGAGATAGGGACTGATTCAATTTTGAGAGAATGGTTGAAAAGAAAGAGGAATAAAAAACATACACGCAGCAAAAGAACTATACTGAGTCGTTCAATAGAGAAAATGGTTGAAAAAAGAGAGGGGAACAAAAGAGACACAACACAGCACACATACATAACATAATCTCTCTCTTTCTCAAACACACAAAACAACAAATTGCTCCTCTCTCCCTCTCTTGCACACATATAGCGCACAATGTCAAATGTATATTTTGGAAATGTGGCCAATTATGCCCTTGTCACATGAACTTTTTTCAATAATGGTACAAAAGCCATATTGTAATATATGTGAAATCCCATATAGTTAACATGAGGAAATACCATAAAGGAGGATCCATTTTTTAGCTTTAATAGGATATTGCACTAGAGGGAAAATCCAATGGTGTGTTTGGATTTCTTGTAAGAATTATTTTTCTATAAATATACAAAGTTTATTTAATTTCTAAATATTTTTTATCAAATTGTAAGAATGCTTGGATGACATCCTATTATTTGAGTCATTAACAAACTAATGACATCTTTAGCTCAGCTCATTATATAGGATTAACAGATTGGTGACAACTTATCAATCCTAATTAGCTGCACTTAAGGAATTAAAGATACTTGGATCTCTACTCCTATAGACTATGAATGAGAGAATTACAAACCAAATGTGTTTTCTACAAAAAGAGGTTAACCCCTAAACAAATGTTAGAAAAAAAAAAAGGATAGAAAAAGAAGAAAAAAAAAGATGCAAGGTGAATGAGATTCACCAAAGAAGACTCTCAAGGTAGCCTGTCATCGGATGGTTTCAACCAGTGTTTGAAAGCTCGTTTGAAAACTCGTCGAGTCAAACCGTACTTGCCCGGTTCGATACAGAAATTGGTACCCCCGTACCGATTCCACCGTATTACACAAAATCGCGAGAATCGAGCAATTCGTAGCGATAACTCAACGAGTCGCTATAGTGACACGGGCGATTTCAACAGTCAGGGGTAAAGTCCGAAAAAATTTTAAAATTGAGGGGCGATTTGTAGCGATAACTCGGCGAGTTGCTATAGTAACACGGGCAATTTCAATGGTTAGCGTAAAATCCCAAGGGTAAAGTCCAATTTTTTAAAAAAATTGAGGGGCGATTCGTAGCGATAACTCGCGAGTCCCTACAGTTACACTGGCGATTTCAACGGTCAGGGGTGGAAAGTCACTAAAATGATACCGATGATTACAGCCACACGGGCGATTTCAACGATCAAGGGTGGCGAGTCGCTACATTGACACCGACGATTTCAACGGCCAGGATGGCAAGTTGCTACAATGACACCGACCAATTATAGTGACACGGGCAATTTCAACAGTCAGGGGTGGCCAGGCGATTACAGTCACACGAGCGATTTCAAGGGTGGCGAGGTGATTACAGTCACACACGCGATTTCAGGGGAGGCAAGACGATTACAGTCACACAGGCGATTTCAGGGGTGGCGAGGCGATTACAGTCACATGGGCGATTTCAGGGGTGGCGAGGCGATTACAGTCACATAGGCGATTTCAGCGGTGGCGAGGCGATTACAATCACACAAGCGATTTCAACGATCAGGGGTGACGAGTCGCTACAATCACACAGGCGATTTCAACTGTCAGGGGTGGCGAGTTGCTACAGGGGTGGCGAGTCGCTACAGTCATACAAGCGATTTCAATGGTCAAGGGTAAAATCCAAAATTTTTTTAAAATTGAGGGGCAGGCATTTTTGATGCCACATGTTAGGAACATGTAGTGCATGGGTCTCAATCCTGCTAAATAATTGACGCATTTATTGATGGCCTGACAGAAGCATTTATACCATGCAGACTTATATTAAAGCTTCGATGTGGGATAATTCTCACACATTGTGCGCATAAAATCATTATAATATTTAGACGGCAATTCAAAATACAATATTATTACGTGGTGCAGTTGGTTATGACTCACAATTTCTTCCTAGACATCTCAACTTCGAGCCCCATGGGCGCCATCCAACTTATTTCCAACTTATTTTTGTTTCTTAAAAGGAAAAAAATAAATTAAAAGATCTCAACTTCCTTATTTTTGTTTCCTAAAAGGAAAAAAATAAAGTAAAAGGTCACAACTTCGAGCACCTTGGGCGCTATCCAACTTATTTTTGTTGCCTAAAAGGAAGAAAATAAAGTAAAAAGAAAAAAATAAAAAATAAAAGGTTTTTTTTTTAAAAAAATGTAAAAAGAAGAAAATAAAGTACATGGAGAAAAAGAAAAAAAATAAATCTAAAAGGAAGAAAATAAGGTAAAAGAAAAAAAAAAACAAAAGATTTTTCAAAAAAAAAAAAAGGTGATACAATATTTTTTTATTTTCTTGTCAAAAAAACAAAAGGTAATATAACAAGTATTAAAAGGAACTACAACAAGTATTTATTGTCAAAAAATAAAAAAACTAAAATAAAAGGTACCTTAATAGCATCATTTTCTTATATTTGTTGTAAAAAAAAAAAATGAAAGGTAATACAAGAAGCAAAAAAAAATATAGCACATCTTCTTATTTTTTTGGATTTGTTGTTATTTGTACATAATTATAAAATATAAACCAACAATTCAATTTCAGTATATAATATTATAGTTAGTTAGGTTGTAATAATTTGGGTTTTTTTTAACGGATTAGGGTTTTCCGCCAATTCGAGATTTTAGTGGCCATTTTTTCATCGATTTAATTCACTTTTTATTGTAGTCCATGTATGATTGTATACTTTATCCATGATATTTCTATGATTTTTCTTTTGTATGATATAAATTTAATACTTATTATAAGTTCATATAGGGAAATAACATCTCAATATTCACAAATTGATGAAAAAAATGAAAGTTAATAATACAGTACCCCCATTGTTTACTAGATTCCTAAAAAACAACATGTGTAATGAAATTTAATAATTTTTTTAGATTTTTTTTAAAGCTTAATTAAACGGATTCAATCGATTCTCAATCCGGATAGCCTATTCACCGATCCAGATGGATTTTTAGAGTGCCTGATCAGGGGCACTGATCCTTTTTTATTGATCTCTTATTAGAAAGATCTATATGCATAGGATTTTCTTAATGAAAAAAACAAAAAAAATATTGGGGCTATTTTTTTATCGATCCCTTATTAGAAATATCTATATGCATAGGATTTCTGTTTTTTTTTATGAAAAAAAATAAAAATAAAAAATAAAATAAATAAATAAATAAATAAATATATATATATATATATATATACATATATAGGGGCTATTTTTTGAGGTATTTTTTGTATTTTTACCACTCTTTCCTGCCCAAGTTATTATATTCTAATTTATTGCTCAATTATCCAAGTCTATCGAGGGCATTTCCATCCATTCTAGAACACCCACCTTTAGACTTGTAATGTATGCCCCGATCCATAACTCCCGTCAAAAAAAAAAAGGGCTAAACCCCTACACCCTTCCCCTCTCTCTCTTCTCTCTCTCTAAATTCATTGCAAAGGAGAAATTTTCTCCTAATTTTTTTGCGATTTTTCGCAAAGGATCATCAGAGAAATCTCCTGCATTCAAAATAGAGAGAATAGTGAACGGGATAAGGAGCGAGAAAGGCAAGTTTCTTTGATTCCCTTTTCCCTTTTTTTTTTTTTTTTATCAACTTTTTTTTTTTTTTAGTGGATAAAAATTTGGCTACTATAATACACTATTTATTGATACCCTAAACCCTTAAATGAAAATCATCAGTCTTTCAATTCTGATTTTCCTCTTTCTACGATAATATATAGTTTTCTTCTGAGTTGTTATAAAAAATCCGTAATTTTATTTTATTTATTGCTGATTATTATTCATTTTAAGATCATCTATTTTTATTATTATAATAATTTTTCTATAGTTTTTCTTTCCATAAATCTTTAGAGAGAATTTTTTTTGTTTGGAAACCCCAATACTGCTACTTACATTAATATGGGATTCATCTGCTGAGAAGGGTAAAAGAATTGTTGATTAAGATGATCCGCTTATTGCAAATTTTTTAGAGTATTTTTTCTCAATAGTTTAAACTATCTCCCAATGAGATTGAAATTAGAACTCAGATTTATTTTACTTGGTTTGTATTTTATTTTATTATTCATGAATCAAAATCTAAAATTGAAGATTGAAAGACCCAATATGTAAAATTATAACGTGTGGAAAAGAAGATTGGCTTTGATCTTAGAGCATGAAAATTTAAATCATATAATTTCAATAGAATTTCCTACTAAATCCAGTGATGACAACACTAGGACAGAAAAAATAACATATGCTAATTGAAAAAAATAAAATAAAAAGAACGTGATTTTGAGAAACATGGATGATGAATTATTATTGAGCTTCGATGAATTTAAAAATACAAAGATATTTATGATAAATTGAAAATACAAATTTGGGGTGACTTCAATGAGTAATTTAAAAGCACTGACTCGAGTACTATTCTTCCATGATGAAAAAAAATGAATTTGTAGTTGAACATGTTAGGGAAATGATTTTGCTGGGCAAACAACTTATTAGTACGAGTCATCTTTTGACTGATCAACAAGTTTTGACTACACTTAATAGTTTGTCTAGTTCCTGGGAATATGCTAAGATCTTACACTACATTATCTTTAAACCGCAAGAATCTTACGCTTCAAAATCTTGCTAGCGTTGATACACTTCGCATGGCCCATATCAAAACCCTCAATATGGAGAATCCTCTAACAAAAGAATATCTTATCAACCTTAGAACAATAATAAAAGACATAACTTTGAAAATAAAGACAAGAAGCCTATGCACAATAGACCCAAGGGCACATGTTTCATTTGTGGGAAGGTGCGACACTAAAAATCCCAGTGCCCAAACAAGGGAGCACCAAAAACACCGACAAAGGTCATGACTACTTTTGTGTAGCGATTGATTGCTTGATAGCTAATGTACTTATTGACAATTGGTGGGTGGACTCTGGAGCCAGTAAGCACATATCAAAGTCTAGAGAGGGCTTTTTAAAATTTATTAAAATTTAAGGAGCTTAAAGCCGGCGAACATGTCATCTCTATGAGCAATAATTCTAAATCTAATGTATTGGGTATTGACACTTATATATTAGCCTTCCCAAATGAGCATTTCTTGCCCGTATACTAATACTTTTTATACTCCTTTTATGCTTTATAACTTGCTTTCGATCAAGAGACTTAATGCTAAGCGATATGAAGTTCATTTTTGGGATCAGAAGATTCATTTGAGCTCAATAATAATTCACGATCCATGTTTCTCAACATTATGTTCCTATTCTTCTTAATTTTTTTTTCTCAATTAGTATATGCTGATTTTTCTACCCTAGTGTTGTCATCATCGGGTTCAGTAGGAACTTAAGTTGAAATTATATGAAATAAATTCTCATGCTCTAAGATCAAAGTCAATCTTCTTTTCCACACATTATAAATTTGTCCATTGAGTCTTTCTATATTTAATTCTAACTTTTGATCCATGAATAATAAAAAAAAATACATATCAAATAAAATAAATCTAATTTATAGTTTTGAACTCACTAGGCGATAGTCTGTTAAAAAAAAAAAAGAGATCAATAAAAATTTGCAACAACTGGTGATATGGACCGTCAATGTGGATCAGATTTATCAACAATTCTTCTACCTCTCTCAATAGATGATTCCCAAATTGCAAGCAAGCAGCAGTAAAAGGGTTTCCAGCATAAAATTTCTCACTCCAAATTTGTGGAAAGAAAAAATACAAAAAAGTAATAATAAAAAAATGAAAAATCCTAAAATAGATTAAACAACAGTAAATAAAATGAAATTGTAGATTTATGATAACAACAAAGGAACTATATATTATCTCAAAAAGGGGAGAAAAAATGAAAGAATGATGATTTTCATTTAAAGGTTTAAGGCATCAATAAATAATACATCCCAGTAGACAATCTCATACCCATTAGAAGAAAAACAACGTTAGATTTGCAACCCACGATCATCGCAATGAATGTTTGTAGAAATAACAATCATTCATCGAAGAAAAAAAAAAATTTGCTAAAAAAAAAAAAATCTGCTCAAGACACAAAAGGAAAAAAATCAGCAACACTACCTTCACCTTTTTTTTTTCTTTTTTTTTTGTCCATGCATGGGGAGAGCTTTCACGCACCATTCGCAAAAAGAAAAAGAAAAAAAAAGACCTTCTTCCTCTCACGTTTCTATCTTTGCCGGACGAATAGGAAAGGAGGAAATGGCAGGGCCTTGCTTTGATGGTAGAGAGAGAAACAATGGGAGGATAAAATGCACCTTGGGGCCCACCTAGTAGGCCCCTGCCCAAGGCAGCCATGAACCTAGGATGACCCCAAGGGCCTTAGGCGCCCGCTAGGCTCCCCTAGTGGATGCTCATCCATCAATAACTGTACAGAGGCGGAGGGAAGTATGCTCGTGAGCAGTGTAACCATGGAAATGGTATAATCACAGGTGCCATCACTGTCCCTTGAAAGGTTGGGATGATGATGGAGGGGAAGTGAGTCCCATCCAACATGTCATAAATCCACTGGCATGTCTAAACCTCCATCATTGTCCAACCCATTGTTTGCTCAATAGTGATATTTCATACATCACCATGAACTTTGGGCCAAGTTTATGGGTTCAAAATGAGGCAACATGGCCATGAATACACAACGAGCCATCTTGGGACAAGTACATTATGGTCCCTAGGATCATAGAAAAACTGTGGTTGCTAGTGCTGCCAACCTCCAGAAATTGATAGGCGGTGATAATGGGAGTGGGAGATACCATTTCGGCTATTTCCTTCTCTTGGGGGTTCCACCCCCTCTCACCACCATGTCATAACTATCCATTGATTGATTGACCAGTGATAACACTCATGACCATAGGTTCAATCATATGAAGTACACTATACTTTTACTACGGTCTTGTTGGATGTGTATCCAACTAGCAATATCAATGGCACTTGGCCAATGCTACACATCCCATTCAAATCCTTGATTATTTTTTCAAAGTTACAATACTTCTTCTTTGAACATAAAGAAAGAAACTATGCCAATTTAAAATTAACCAAGGATTTAAAAATCCTTCAACTGTGCATTGTTCAAGCAAGTGTACCAAAGTTGAAATATCAAGGCTGACTTGTTAAATTTTTTAAAAATGCTACTTTAACTTGAGCCTAAATTTACAAGTGGGAGACAGAGTAAAATAGGATTAAAAATAGTCACTTTAAAAAGAGCAATGAATCCAAATACTATTTATGTTATTTCAAGGTTTTGGATCATCTCAAGATCTAAACAAGTGTTGCAACTAATTGACCTAATATTGGAAATTTTTCAAATATTAGCTGAATTTGCTAACATAATATAGCAAACCCTGTCAACTTCTGTTGATTTTTATGTCAATAATTAACTTCTCCTTTATTTGGACCAGTACTTAAAAAATCACAGAGTCAAACTGAAACTGGCAGGAAGCTGATTTTCTTCCCAACTAGGGACTCGGCCTAATACACCTAGAAATCATATCTAAAACAAAATATTTTTTATTATAAAACTAGTGTTACCAGAACGATTTGAAGTTCCTAAACCTATTTTAAGCATTTTAAACTTCTTAAATTTTGCTGAATTCGCTGAGCCAAGTCGCCGACTTGGCCAGTTCTACTCGGAACTGGTGGGTGAACAGTTTGACTCACCAGTCTGTTTGTTTAAACATTAACTTAGACACTTCAAAATGCAATTTGGTAATTTGCAAGGTAATTTGGCAATTCGCAAATTTCTGTTGATGGTCAATGCCAGATAACAAGGGCCAATGTTAACAAGAGTTTTCCTAAATTATTTATAATAACACAGCATCCAACAAATAGCCTACTAGTTTAACCTAATCTTTCATTACATTTGGTCACTAGCCAAATTTTCCCACCACAATAACCAATTCACAGAAAGAGATGGCCATTTAGTGTCCTAACAATTAGATGGTTAAGCTGATCCATTACAGGCGGACCAAATATCGCCCTCCCAAAACTTGGGGACTTCACTCTTTCACCATAGGATCCAAGGGTACTGTGATTTCGGTAAATGGTCAGCCAGTCTATAGAACATTATAGGCTAAAAAACCAACATTTAAATAGAAAGAGAAAACCACTTGAATTTGTGTGCTAACAAAATTAGAGTTTTAAGAAAATCAGGTGTTTGATTGACCTGAAATTTACACACATGGTCTAAGAAAGATGAGGACCTTAAAATTTTCCTTAACCCGTCCATGCTTGGGTAAAGGGCTGAGTTGCGTTCAGAAGGCAGCTAACATAAAATTTTGCCAAAACTTATCATAAATCATGAACCTACATTATTTGCTTACCTTAATAGATCAAATGGCAGATCGGGATTCGTGTAGCCGACTCCAGTTAATTGGGAAAAGGCTTTGACGACGATGATTAACATATTATCTATGTGCTCCAAACAAAAAAAATTGAATCCACGGAAAACTATTGACGTAAATTAAGTCTATCTTCAGCTACGATCTCAGCTGTCCAGCCTATAACGTGCTGTTAGCTTATAAAATCATCTCCCTCAATGTAGATAACCCCAACTTAGCATTGTTCTCTTAAGTCTCTATCCTGTTAATCTATGACCTTATGTGTACGTAATGGTAATCGAGAGAGATGTGGTACCTTCAAGATTTTCAGAGAGCCATTTTGAGTTCTTGGGGCTAATATGGCTGTCCCACCACCATGAGTGGGAGCGCATGGATGTTGTCTTCTTCATGTGTTTGGTCGAGGCCATTTTCAAGAGGGCACTGCAACAATTGATATAAATGGGTCACATAAATTTCTCTCTCTCACTCTCTCTGAAATTCAAAACTACTTATGATCTTTTAAACAATGGAATGTCAAACTCAAAGAATGGTAAAAACCTTATGATGAGGAAAGGAAAAGGAATCATGCAACATTATAAGTTCCAAGTGCACAATCAGTGATTTAAAAATCACGGACCATTTGAAATCGTCCAAGCCCACTCGGGATCGGGAGCCAAGTGATTCTACGTTGGAAACCCAAGAATCGCTCTGACTCCCTGAATTTTTTTATATCGCTTCAATGTTTCTTACTAAAAATAACCCGCTTTAACTCCAACTTGGTCAAGTCCAATTGGGGGCTCAGGTTCAGACCCATCGAAAGTTGAAGACCGAATCCAATTTTGTAAACACTGATTCAGTAAGTTGTTCAAGTCAATTATGTGATGCATAGTGCTAGAAGTTTTGGACATCCCAAGCTGAATCCAAGCACGTCTTTTGCAACTAGTGTATAATCCAGCTGAAGCATTGAAAGTGACCAATACAACAAAAAAAGAGAGAAACAAATTTAAGATGAAATCACAAACACCCACAGTTGCGGATGAAACTCACCTTGGAAGAGGAAGAGCTCAAAAATTTGTGCAGTGTGCAAATCAAGCTATACCCCAGGAGAGAAGAGATGAGGTTCACTTTATACAAGGGGAAGAACTCAATTTTTGAGCAATGGTAAAATCAAGCTATAACTCAACAGAGAGGAGATGGTTCACTTTATACAAGGGGAGGAGCTCAACTTTTGTGAGGTGTGCAAGTCAGCAAGCTATACCCCGAGAGAGAAGAGATGGGTTCACCTTATACATGGGGAAAAAACTTAACTTTCGTGCAATGTGAAAACCAAGCAATGCCCCAAGAGTGAAGAGATGGGTTCACTTTATACAAAGGGAAGAACTTAATTTTTGTGCAATGTGAAAATCAAGCAATACCCCAAGAGAACAGATGGGGTTCACTTTATACAGGGGGAGGAGCTCAAATCTTGTGCAATGTGCAAATCAAGCTGTACCCCAAGAGAGAAGGGATGGGTTTTCTTGGGAGTAGAGTTTCAAGAGGTTCAGAGGAATATGAAAGCGCCTTTTTCTTTATCTCATATTAAAAATATATATAACAACTCAACATTGATTTCAGTCTAAAAAATGGTGCTTTTCTTAATTGTGTGTGTCAGGTAGATTTAGAAGAGGGGGAGACTCTTGAGATTGAAAGACCCTTAAAGGCAAAGGGCATTGTAACGCCAATGCATGATGACGGAGTTGAGCGCCCTATTTTAATCCTGTTCTAAGGACACTTGGCACACTCAAATGTATCATGCAAAGAGCGAGCATCACGCGTATACTTCAGCAAATTTAAAATGGGTCTCTCTCTACGCGCATACTTAAGCAAGTTTAAAATGAGTATTTGATCTCGCTGTCTCTCTATGTGTTTGATCTAATGATTCCTCTCTCTCTCTCTCTCTCTCTCTCTCTCTCTCTCTCTCTCTAAATGGGTGTTTGCTCTCTCTCTCTCGCTCACGCTCTCGCTCTCGCTCTCGCTCTGTTTGATCTAATGATCTCTCTCTCAAATTTGAAATGAATGTGTGCTCTGTCAGTCATAAAATGGATGTTTGCAATGTATCAAATAATGTTTGCTCTCCCTCTCTCCAATTAATACACACGTAAAGGAGTACATGAAAATCTAGAATTAGGAATTAGAATATGCGTTTGTTCTCTCTCTCTCTCTCAACTTTATTTTTATAATGGTTGAAGTCAAACTGAAAACGAATAAAAATAAGTTTTTTGAGGAATGGCCACATGACTCAAATCATGAATCATCACAACTGGAAATGGATCTAAACCAGGCGGTAGGCAGGATAGTTCACCAAATCTCAAGGAGAGAGAGAGCACCTTATCAGTTTATTGATGAGAGAAACGCTTTCTCCACATGCCTGCTAGATCCGGAATAAATGCAGCAAGCTTAGGAGAGCCAAATGAATGGCAAAAAAAAAAAAGCTTACCGTCATAGGGTATATGATGGTAAAAAAAATACAAATAAAAATAAAAATAAAAAATTCAGTCAGAGGGTGGTAATGGACCCACGACCCGACGAGTAAACCCAGGCCTGACGGGTATTTTGGACCCGAATAATATTTGGGTTGACCCGATCCGGACCCCTTGCGCCCTGAAATACCCAAACCTTGGCCCCATGTAATAGTAATTCCTCTCTCTAGCAAGGCCAGTACCCAAACTTGGTCCATATCTCTCCGTGTGTTTGATCTAATGATCCCTCTCTCTCTCTAAATGGGTGTTTGCTCTCTCTCCCTGTCTCTGTATTGAAAGCAGAATTGAATAAACTTTGGCCCACCTAATAATTCGTCTCTCTCTCTCTTGGAAATCGCACCATGGGCCATATATGTACAGGTTAAGTTGACTAACATGTATTCTCAACATGGCAATACACAGTGAAAGTCCAAGATATCTAAAGTTCACATGGATTTCCTAAGCTAAGCTTCAAATATATGATATAATTCATCGTTGAAAATTTATCAAAATATTAGGAGAGACGCACTCTATACATTTCACCCATTTTATTAGTCCTAATTTCAAAAAGCCCTCTCTATAATCGTTCAGAATTTGTTGAAAGGGCAGTTTTCAATTTCCCTCCCTAATTTTTAGAAAAAATTATGAAAATATCTGTAACAGTTGAACTATTTAGAAAGTTGAAAATGGACAACAGCTGAAATAAATGGATTTTGAATATGTCAGGAGACACATTCCAACAACCCAATCCCTTGATCTACTTCTACTTATCCAGTTTTAAATGGTGAATATATCGTATATATGCCTAATTTATTATCCGTTAATTCTAATTCCATAGGAAATGCAAGTAATCAAGTGTAAACTTAAAAAATTTGTGCTTGTTGCACACCACTTATTTGAAATTTAAAGATAAATAAATAATATCATTTAACGGGTCAACATTCCATATACAATCATTAAGACGTCAAACAATCCTAATTTACATTAGAGCAATGTTTTAGAACCCGGCAATTTCTGATATGGATCGTCAATCAGGATGCAAAATCAATACAGACCAAACCGCTTCTGAAATGATATGGGTCCAGACCCAGTTCCCCCTAAAATCCCCCTTTTCATTTTCTTTCTTCTTTTTCAGCATATCTAATGTGGTACTTGGTCACCCTACATCCCTGCCCCATAAATTTTACTATTAATTTTTTATTTTTTTTATTTTTTTTTGGATCACCGATCTGGACAATTTGAGAACGATCTGAATCACGGATCCAGCCAATCGAGATGGGGATTGAGGGTGGACGATCCACCCCACTCATCCATTTTCTAAAACATTCATTAGAGGTTTACCTTTTAATTGTCATTTCACTCGTGTACTTCAGTATAATATCTTAAAAATACTCAAATTATCCCTGTACAGAGTTGGAACCTTTAAAAAGCAAAGAATTTCAATAATTTCGAAAGTACTTTGAAACTTTGCCATTAGGTTTGCCATTTTAAGTGATTCAGAATTTCAGATTACTGAAATGCTCGTCTTGTTCACCGTTCTCCACCCTTAACCAATCTGGACATTTTCAAAAAAAATTTGGAAAGGTATGTGGGCGAAATAAAATTAAAACGTAAACTATTAAATGTTAATTGAGATCTCTTGAGTGCCTTGATAATTTTGGATTCTGACCCCCTTAATTGATATTTTTCCTCAATAAAGAATAAAAAGGAAAAAAATTCTGATGTCATTGAACGTTGGACCAGCTATTTAAAAGCAATGAGCTTTAATCTTGACGGTCCAGATTCTCCAAGACTTACTAAATTTGCATTTAAACCGTAATTTGTGAAATTATTTCCTCAAAAAATAGTAATATGGCAAAAAGAAGCAGTTTTTACAAGATTATATGTACCTGATGAGGCTGCTTTAAGATGAATTATTTCTACACTAATTCAGCAAGAAACAAGACCTGGAAAAAAAATAATAATAAACAAGTCATCAGTTTTTAGGTAAAAAGAAAAAAGAAATACACATCTTCTCCAATAAAACATCTAAACCAACATACTCATTTAGATAGTCATTTAATATGACAGCTACCTACCCATTATTTTTTATTAAAATTAAATTGTTTTGAATACAAGCAACCCATTATATTTCCACTGAATTTTAGGGCATTTCATCCAAATTTCAAGAAATGTATCAGCCCAAATACTTAATACAAATGACCCAATAACAACTGAAATTTCGCTGCAAGTTAGTGAGAGCCGAAATCAATCGCGAAGTTCGACTGAAATTTCATCAAATTTAATTGAAATTTGGTTGCAAGACATGCATTTAGCTTCAAGAGTCAACCGCACCACCCCAATGACACAATCACGAAATTTTGGCTAATTTTTATTGATATTTGTCCAAGATCAATCTAACATTAAGTTTGGAATTTGTTCGAGTTTCCACCAAATTTTGTTGAATGCAGGAAAGTCTTAAAAAATTTGAAAACTTAAGCTAAAAAATCTACCCAAAATTTCTCAAATAATTTGTTCGAATAAATTCAAGTATATTTCAGACCATAATTTTGGGAAACCCCCTAAATTATGCAATATTCATAGTAATGTTAATCAGCCCAATTGTCCTTTTAACAAGTTATATCGATAAGAGATTTGGTCTAGTCAAAACTAATATGTTTATTAGGTCCGGACGATTTCAAAAGAATATAAAAATTATTATCGAAAAATATAAAATATATTGCGAAAAAAAAATTGTCTAAGCTTAGTTGGCCACTCTAATTGGTATGACCTCCAAATTAACAGGCCAGATTGGCACTAGTCAAATATCAAATTTTCTTGTTTTTAAGAAAAGGGCCAAGGTCATTATGGTAGCATCCCCACACCCAATTTCAGTGGTATCCATTTCCACATGTGATACCCCCAACTATAACACCTTCAAAATGTAACTCCTTGATCTATTGAAAATCGTATAGGGGCTGTCTTCTCTGCCGAATTACCCAAAAAAACAAAAAAATTCATCCAATTGCTATAGACCAAATTGGCCAACTAATCAATGTTAGCCAATCAAGCCTGTCCAAACTCGATACCGACTGGTGGACGCTGCCAAAATTGGTCAAATACTAATTTTAATTGTCTCTAATAAACCCAATTTTTAATATAAACCAAACAGGCCAAAGCACCGCACCAGTCACCTAACCAGTCCAGTCCTGGCAACCATGTTCAGTCCGGATAATCTTGTTCTTCCAGTAGATTAGGAAGTATATTGTTATTCATTGGTACAATTAAGGGTCTTTAGGTCATTAAGCAATGAAGAAATAGAAAAGAGGCGCCACGATATTCTCAAAGGAAATGCACTTTTAAAAAGGAAGGGAAAAATGATGGGGTTGGTATCGTCGTTTCCTAAGAAGTCATTTTCGATATTTCCATAATTCAAATTTTAAAGGGAAAACACTGCTTCCACACCAGGGCATTTCACAATCAATGATGTAAAAATCTTCAGGCAGTCAGAGAGAGAGAGAGAGAGAATTTTAAGTATAAAACAAGAGAGAACACGAGATTGATTTCCAGGCAGTCAGAGAGAGAGAGAATTTTAAGTATAAAACAAGAGAGAGAACAAGAGATTGATTTTCAGGTACTCACTGAGAGAAGGGCATCTCATTAATCTAATGATGTAAAACTTTTAGGCACTCTAGTAGGGAGACTTTCAGGCAGAGAGACATTGATTTTCAGGCAGTCACAGAGAGAGGAAATCGAAGAGAGAGAGATTCATGCAGTACAAGAGAGAGATATAAGTATTGGTTTCAGGCCATGCTTGGAGAAAGCAAGAAACGCAGAGGCTTCAAATGATGCGGAGAGAGAGGAGAGAGAGCTGTTTTAAATCTTTTATACAAAGTTTAGATTGCAGAAAGAGAGAGAGGCCCAAGGTGCTTGCACAGGACTTAGCGATTCCAGAGATGATGAGATCTATTACAGGGGCGAAATCAAGTAAATATCCAGTCAATCTTGAGAGAGAGAGACGAAGAGGAAGAGGGACCGAGAGCATACCGATTTAAGACGGTGTTCAGATAGAAGCCATCGAACAAACAGATCTCTTCTGGTTCCTGCGAGTAGGAGGCAGGATTTTTACTGAAGCATCAGGCAAATGTGGACTCAAACCAGAGAGAGAGAGAGAGAGAGAGAGAGAGAATACTATTGAGGCGACGAGTAGAGAGAGAGAGAGAGAGAGAGTACCTATTTGAAGCGACCCTTGGATTAATCCATCTCTCTTCTCTCTTCAGAGTTCAGA